ACGATTTTCACTCCGACATAACCAAGCTTTTTCTCTAATTGAAAATCTTACAATATTGGTTTGTTTAATTTTCTTTTCTTGTGTTTTTTTATCACAAATATAGAGTATTCACTCTAACTTCATCAGTCTTTAAAGTGATGTTCACGTCATCATGTTTATTGAGTCAAGTTGTATTTATCCTGTAGTTCAGTTATTCAAAAATAATTCGTTTTAGTTTATAGAAAAAAGCAAAGTTGTAACCACTATTACATTCGCTTCGTTTTTCCCCGTCAAATTGTGTCGAACCTGTGTATTTAGTTTGTTAACTTTTACAATTTCGCCGGGTATTGACAATCGAAGGTTTTACCACCACAATAGATGGAGAAAATCGATACATTTTTTCCTCTCTTAGAGCAAAACCAATTTACAATGGTAATCGATAGTTCGCCCACAGTGTAATTAACTAATATGCTTTTATTTTCATACCAATTTATCGATTCCTCGTCAATCTGAAGTTGTATAGATTGTGGAAACAAGTTAATTTTTCATGATTTAATTCAAAATCATATATTTCTATAATATTTCAACATCGAATAATACAATAAAAATAATAGCCTTTCCGTTTAGTACCTTACCATTTAAATGAAATTGTTGAAAATTAAAATAGAAAGATCCTATTTAGCCTGTTTATTCAGTACATATGACTACACATTGGATTACAATTGTACAACTTTTACATTGCAGAATTTGAATTTTACACAGTGAAGCATTAATACATTTTTTACGTAAATATATTGAATCCAGAAAAATATTTGTGAAATATTTATCAGATCATAAAAGATTTATGTTGCTGTAAGAGCAGAAGGTGAAAACTAAAATGATTCTTGAACAGTTGATTTTGATCTCAAAATGATTGTAGGATCAGAACTTTTAACCTTTTTAAAAAATTACAACAGAATTAGAAAAAATTAGACAAGTCGAATGATTACACAATTGGATCTACTTAAAGCTATATTGACGAAACTCGCCGGTCTCTTTCATATTGCACAATTCATAAATAGTAAGTATTGTAATGGCATCATAATTATGTAGTTTCCCTTGACTATTATAAAGTTACTTAAATAAGTACAATATGTATAGGCTGTTTACTGGATTTCTTATATATGATATTTGAAAAGACAGAATAAGAGGAAATACTAAATAATTCTACAATGAATTTTAATAAAATAAATGTTATTTTATCTATAGATTAAAGTAAAAAATATGTATTCATAAGTTATAAAGGTTCTGTTAGGAAGTTAGAAATAAACACGGGCAACTCTTGAATAACTCAGCAAACCTTCAGTCATACGAGGTCTTATAAAAATAACATTGTTAAAAATTGTGATAAACCTTGCATAACCCGCTGCTTCAATTACACGGCTTTTTTTAAAGTTACTTGAAAGCCGCAAGCGGAAAAATTGTAGTAGCGGTCATTGTAAAAAGTATTCATACAGCGAATAATTTTCTCAAAGGTATTGTATTGAAATTTCTGGAATAATTTAAAAAAAAGAAATAATATGATATCTATATCCTTTGTTGAAATATTAATTAATATTCATAAAATGGCGAAAATATATGCATAACAAGTATACATATACTCGTGCAGTTACAGTTTAATGGAAAAAATTAATAAAAGTGACCTAATTTAAAGGGCAGAATATTACTTTCAAATATTTTATTATTTATTGAAATTCCCTTTTGATCCTATTATGGGATGAAGCCGTTATGGCATTGAATTTATTAAACTGATAAGCATTCCGTTTGGAATAATATTCCATTCTTCTAAAAGAGTATTTTCAAAGATTCTTTAAAACTCACGTTTATGGATCAATAACAGTAGCACAGTACTTTCACGCGCTATCCTATATCGAGATAAAATTGTTCCACTGAACTGTGAAGTTATGATACCGTAAATTTAGTTTTCCTCCATCATTGATATTCAAATTTCTCAAAATTGTAAAAAAATGCATTGGATGGTTATCCTTTAAACTGAATTATTGAATAAAATATCCCTGCATATGCAGTTTGAATCCGTATTTACCTTTATCTATCTTTTTCTATGTCTGAATCCGCATTACAGACTATACGAACGATTCTTCTAGGCGAATGTTTGAAAGAGATGGATCATGATGAAGTTCCGGATTATGTGCTAGTCGCCCGGTCTTCTCGCTTATTTTTTCTGGGGTCTTCCTTTTGGATTATTTTCATGTATCAATGATTTCTTGTTCGTCGCTTCGAAATCCCGCGCCTTGACCCTTGATGCTCGATGGACTAAATGTGTACGCCTATTCCGTTTCTGCTCATTGTATTCATTTTCTGTTCCTGTCTAGTGAGATCACGTTATACTGAACTTGAGACAGTGAGTAGTGGGGCAAGAGTAGGGCCGGCGCTGTGGAATTTAGCCGAGCAGATTTCTTTAGAATTTAAGCGAGCGTCACTGTAGTTGCATTTATAAATCAACGAAGCACTACGAAGGACTACGGAAGCGTCAAATTGGAAGCAGGCGAAGCGAGCGAGATGTCGCTTCAGTCCATGTGCTGTCTCTAGCCAACTTGTCATCTCCGTACTATACTTGTACAATGCTTGTCGAAATTCAAAAGCAACAATGCCCAACACGATGCTCGATGGTACTTCAATGGTGAAACATAGCAGACACAGTTTGGAGAGCAAGTCTTGCGGTGGATTCTGTGAATAATAGTATCACCCGTTCCTGTTCCCACTCCCTTTCCTGACTTTGGCACGTGGCTTCGTTCTCGATCTCTCTCGGATATGAGTACTTGTTTTACTGGTGAGAATGCAAGTTAGTCATCTCTATTTGGAAAGATAATCCATTCTATTAATCCAAATTATACCTTCCTCCTTGTTCCGATTAAAAGAATGTTTTACAATCTAAGGGGAGAGATACCTTAGAAGGATTTCTAACGGTTTATTAATCTGTTCACGTTTTCACAAGCAATTCTGTAACAAAATTGATCTTCGTGAGACTTCCGCCGATAGTCATTTTTTACTCGTGCTTCTCTGACGCGATCAATCGCTAAATTTCGCGGCAACGAACGCGGTAATTCGGCCGATCGTCGTTTATTTCTCAGATAACTAACGCGAGCAATCTATAGCGTAACATGCTATTAAACGAAATGCCTTTTCCTTTCTTCGCTTGGGAATACCGGGAAAAGTACATTCACTTTTTGCACCAATAATTTACATAAACATTTATTACAATGAATCGCGATGGGTCACTGCTGTGGTGTTGTAACAATTGATGTTTCTGACTCATCTTTAGGCTTACGTCTTTCTAATATTCCATGCGCGTTACGAATGGCGGATTTCGCGAACGAGGACGCGGTTGACTCTCTTCCCTCGGGTCTTCTGTTTTCGAAAGGGCGAGAGTAGGAATTAGAGATTCTTCTGTTTTGTACAAGGCGGTGGGAATCGGAATTGGAGGCTCTTTTGTTTTATAGAAGGCGGCGAGAATCGGATTTGCAGAGTCGCCACTTGGTGACATCACATAATCGTCGAATTTCGCGGCAATAAAGCTCTTGCACACACAGGCGTTCTTATAGACGCAGGAACTCCGTGTCTATCCTACAAGAAGAATAAGTACAATAGTCTCAGACGAATTACCAGTTTAAGACTTTGATGACCATTGTCACGTATACGTGATTTCGCAGACCCAGTGGTTAACGGTTGTCATTGATGCTTGCTCTACCGATGTTAGGTGACATCACGCATATGTCATTTCATTTTGTATTAAACATAACGAATGTTAAACATGTCCCAAATGATAACTTTCAATTGGTTTTTTACTTCTTCCGGTTACTAATCCTATTGTTTGTAAGAAATGCTGACTGTAGATGACAAGATCCGAGCGAACGACACCGGCAACAACAGTCAAGCGAAATGTACGGCCACTAAGGTGTTTTCTGCAAGTGCAATGATAGTACAATATGCAGTTGCCCAGTTTTTAAAATCGAAATGAATATTTTGTTTTACATATAGTAAAGAACAAAACTAAACCAATGATTAGAGTTTTTGTATAATCCTTTATTCTACATCATGAACAGTAACATATACAAAACGTAATCATAACAATAAAATTCTGCATTGTTTAAGCTAACACAGACAGATTTAAAAAATGTTGTATCTCCTTACATTTTCCACGAAGTTACTAGTTAATAGTGCAAGCTTGTACAAATAAAAAGCCGATGAATTTGGAAAATCAATGGGTAAGGTCAATAACCGCAGTGACACGTGTGCATGCATGATATCAAACGCTCAACAGTCAACGCAGAGCGTCAATGGTAAGCGCTCATTGCAAAATCTTTACGAGCATGAACGATCTTCGTAGCTTACTCAGGAAGCCAAGAGTGAGGTCGTAAACCACAGTGATGAAAGAGAGTGACAACAGGAACCGACGATCTCCACATTCATAGATTAACCTGCCATGAGACCACTGTTCTTGGAATCATGGCTTGTGTGCTAATCTTTTCATGCTTCGCTGGATCAAAACAGCACCAGCGAATAACGCGCTGCATGTCCCTTGTCTATGGGCATAGCTGCTCCGCGTAGTTTATACACTTGTAGTCCGTGGATAATCATTTTGGATATATTTTGGAGCCTTTTATTTTTATGAATTAGAAGACCATTTTTATTGCGAATTTTTATTTTAAAATTTGTGGAACTATGTTAGTGTTTAACTATATATTTCAATTACGTATTTTTCGTTGAAAGTAGAGAAGAATTTTATTTAAAATTGATAAAGTGATAACGTAAAAAAGTGAAATTGTAATTTGTCAATTGAAAATTTGATTTTATTTGTTTATGTTCTGGATATAAAAAGATATGTTCAAAGTTTCAAGTTTATTAGTTAATTTGTTATACTTGCAGTTAATTTGGAAATCACTTCCACATTTTTGGTATATATCCACAAAATTTGTTTAGCACTCAAACGGTTAAGATTAAAAGTAAAATTTTTGTAGACAAACTGATGTTCTGAAAATATATTAATAGCAGGTACTACCGTTTCGTTGACATAAGGTTTAATGTCGAGATTTCACGCGCTTTCAAGTAATGCTATTAATTGAGACAAGCATATACAGATATTACTCTTGTACATTTGTAAAATCATATCCCCTGGATTTTGTGCTCTTTGGTGGCCAATTGCTGGAATAGAACAGTTACTGTTCGTGGGAGCGATGACTTGCTAAGCCTCAAATGAAGAGAAACTCACATACTTCAGATTGGAAGTAACATAGAATACAACAAACAAATACAACTAACAAACAGTTCGTTTTTCAGAGATTACTTTCATTATTTATTTATTGTTGTGGATAAATTAATATGTGTTTCAAGTAATGAATTTTTATTTAAATGTACACATTTCAGAAATAAGGAACTGTGACAGGAGAAGCAAATAAAGTGGTACAGCATTGATGCTCAATTGATAAGGGAATAAATGCACCTTAAAGCCTAATGAAAAGATGAATGCACTTTAATGATTAAAATAAACGAATCACTTGTTGAGACAGGAAACACAGGAAAACTATTAACTTGAATTAAAGGGTAATAAAATATGTAAGCGTACGAGTCTTGTTACTAAATGTACAGGTCATGTCACGACCTCCACAGCGTGATTTACACACATGTGACAGCAAAATTCACTCTAACCTTGGAAAAAAGAATTCAAATTTTGTATCGCTGCATCGTAGTCTACTCATTGCGGAGGCAAATAGTCTGAAAAGAACCTTGTGGTCGGAAATTAATGATTTGCTTTCAAATTGCTGTTAAAGTTTTCATGAGAGTAAAAGACCACGATGTCCAATGTCCTTCTGTGTTACACGAATATCGATTAGTTGGGGTAGCGAGTGAAATGACTGCGTTCTGTCAGGATTCAGAATGACAAAATGTGACGCAATTTGACACAGAATGAAATATCATACGGTGTCGAGTCTGGTGATCCAACTTGTAACAGAAAAAAGCATTGAATATCGAAATCCTTTACTCTATCGTGAGAACTCCAACAACAGTTCATAAATAAACTATTCTTTTCTGAACCATGGTTCCCTTCAGACTATTTACCTTTATCATAGGCAGAATGTGATGCAACAATAAAAAATGTTAATTCTTCTTTCAAGGTTAAGATGAATTTTACGAGCACTTTCTTGCATCAATCTCCATTAAATCGATAGTATAGAATTCACCTCTGATAACCGAGACAAAACATTCCTTTCCACCCTGTACAGTGTTCAACGAAAAGGCTTCCATCAGGGCATCGCCCTCTATATCCTGTCTGTGTGAGCGTATTTACCTGTGGTCGAACGCTTACCCGACTGAGGTTTAAACAGCGCGTTCCGCAAGTCGAGCCCTCAATTTTCGACCGTTAGTTCCTCAAAAACTTGCAAAATGCTAATAAACTTTTCAACTTGTATTTGTGCAATGAATATGCATACTCTAGATGATTGTATATTTTTGAAACATGCTTCATAGTCTATGTTAATCTACTTATAATTAGGTTAGGACTACGTTGGTGTTTTAGTCGCGGTGTGGCTGTTATACGCCACGTACTCTTCACTGAAATAAAAACAGTATATTTTAATGCAACTGACTACATGGGCATTTGAAAGCGCATCGCATTGTGCTTCACACTCGTGTACCTAGTTAGTTGCATTAAAATAAATATTTTTTACTCCAGCGGAGAAAACACGACTTGTAAAATACTCATATAGTTCTGAATTTAATCTTTCATTTCAATTAACAATATTAAAATCATTATAAATTTATTTTCAACAGCAGAACTTGCTTTATGTATATTCTATTTATGAACACAGACTATATGAACTCATTGTCGCAGCTGAGCGCTTATTATATGTATAAACTGAAGTCCTATAGTGGATTTATATAGTATAGTGGGCCTCCGAGTTACAGTTTCCTAATTTACGTCGCTTCGCAGTTACGTCGTCTCTACGTAATACGATAATCAGTTGTTTTTAACCAATATTTCTCGCTCTACGTGTTTAGTTTTAACTGAACCAGTTTGAAATTTAGTCGAGTAAAGAATTCGTCGTGCGATAAGCTAACTGTATAACGTTCTTATGGGAATTCATTGTAGATTATATAGTTTATACATAGTTTAAAAACTTATAGATGTATATTTATTGTGAACATCAGTATACAAATGCAATAAATCGAGAATTCTCATCCTTAAATTATATTGTTAAAAAAGGAAATACTAATAGCATGCAAGGTTCTGAGATTAACTGAAAAATAAAGAGAGCTAGATAAAGAAGGGTAAAAGTTCCTTCAAACCAAATTGACCTTTGCATATACATTCGATGCGTCTCTCGAAGAAACCCCCTTTTACCAAGTTTTAAGCCCCTACTCCTACTGTTAGGATAGTTACAGATTGAAATGCTACACACAGTTTATGCTCGATATTCTTTGTTCTGTTTGATATGAAATTATTAAAAAATCATAGTTATTCTAGGTATATATGTGCATTTATAGAAATTTTTTCAGAATTTTAAACTGCAAAATCGATTTTTAAAAAATTCGGGACAATTATAAATGCCGATTTCTCATTTAAATGATCAAAGTACCACTTTTATATTTCCATAATATTACCATCTTATTATGACTATTAATCCTTTATGTTTTCATATTTTTCGGATTGAGGAAACGCAATTAAAAAAAATAAAAACCGATATATTTTTTAAATTATCGGTCATTATTTTAGTTTGGAAACTAAATTAGAAATAATAAAACTTTTTGATAATACAATACCAGGTTTTGAGATTATTAAAGAACTGAACAAAAATTTGCCGAAAATAACCTTGAGTTCTTCGTAAACATTCGTTAAATATAATCTCTGCTATCATTTTTATACATTTAAAAGAATACCTATCTCTTAATCTGATAAGTACATGTGCAGTATATACGTTGTCTCTGTATCCTGTGTTTATCCTTACTTACGTCCTTTTCGATTTACGTCGCACTCTTCAGAACCAATTAGGGCGTAATACGTACGACGTTCACAAATAAAATTATTAATACAGCATTACTAACTGTAAATGTTGTTAATTGTTTCTAAATAAATCCTTGATATAACGTTACTATAATTTTGATAAATTACGCATACGATACATCATTTATATTATAATTTGTACATTTCAATTTAAGTAAGTCGTATATGCAATGCGTACACATATACGTGTTATATTCCAGTATTCTAAACTCTAGTTCTGCCTGTCAAAACTGATAAATCTAGGTAATGGGATAATAGATATTATTGTATAAATCACTCACAAAGTTCTACGAACTGTCATATTTCCCTACCTGTTGATATTGAGAAGCGGCCTAGAAATTACTATAAAGGATGGAACTAGAAAAGGTTGAGACAGAGGGAGTGAGGCATTACGTCCCGAATCTACTAGTGGACTCGTCAGTAAAAACTCCAATATACCTACCAATGTATTTTCGTTTATCTGTTACCGTAAAAATAACTGAAAAATTCCCAGTGCAACAGTTTTGTATCTAAATAGAAAAATGTAAATGTAACATCAATGTTAGAGCATTCGCAAAGTCTATTGTAATATTAAGCCATTGCAGAAGTTTACTATTATTGTTACTAACACCAGTGTTACATGAAGAGTGTACAGTATTATATCTATAGTAGGAGGAAGTGACGAAATAGACGGAGAAAAAAACGTAAAAATGTAGAAATGTTTGAATCAAAATTATCCTTTACTATGAATAAATGAAAAAAAGAGTACAACTGTTTTGAGCTTTAAAGATAAAAAAACAAATTGTAAACTTTTTGTACTTTAAATATGAAAAACAAACATTCGAAAAACAAATTAGTTACCTGTATGGTTTTAGGTTTGCTGGTGGCAGGTATTATGCGAGTTTTTATTATAAGAAAATTTGATACATAAAGCGAGCGCGACACGATGGATAGCATGACGGGCGGAATTTCTGCTACGCAACTGGCGCGTTGCACTTCTACGTTGGGAAGTTTATTCACACTTGCCCTACAGGGGAAGAAGTTTTCCCTTAAAATTAAGGAACATAGCGTCAATTCCTTCATACCCTGCACACTCGAACGCTTTAACGGTTGTAGATAGCCGACGTTCTTGAGTCGAAGATCCTTCGGAACCCTACAATTTATGGTACCTGTAGATTGTTATTGAGGCTGTGAATAATCTTTTCACAACAAATGTACAGTGCTAAGAAACTAAAAAGTTTTCTTAAAAATAGCTTTCTCTTGCCACACGCACCGTAAATTGTGCCAAGCCGTTTTCACGATACTTAACTTTTATTTACAATGTGACAGATTGCTAGAAGTTGTAAGTTGCATTTTTTTAATATTTATTATGAATTATGAAATTTAAAAAAAAACAATATCGATTTAGTGGATGAACACATACAGTGGGTAAAAGAAGTATTCGTACACCTAGTTTTCTGATGATAACTTTATGCAAATGAATGATACATCGATAAAAATTACTTCCATTAATAGTCTATTCTTTACAAATACAATGTGTACATTGTAACATTTTTTAATGCGTAAAGAAAAAAAATTATTAAAAAAATCTGGAAGTTTGAAAGTCAAAAAAGTATTTGTACATATGATTCTACTGCTAAATTCTTAGAAAAATACACGTGTATCGTCAAAACGTAAATAAGTATTTGTTTACATAGCGGTCTTGTTCTTCTCCTAGGATCAGTTTGTCGTTGAATTTCACATAGAAATCACAGCAATGAAGGAAGGTGAAATATTCATATCCATGCGTGATCGCGTTATTTTCACTATTTTTCAATCACGATCAGGTCGACCTTAGATATGAATTAGAGAGCGTCAAAGCATTGTTCAAGAAGCCACGAAAATCCAAAACAAATAGGGAAAAGCGGCTCGGATTTGCAAAAACTGATGTAAATAAATCAATTGAATTTTGGAAACGTGTTATTTTTTCTGATGAGAGTAAATTTAATATTATTAATTTTTAATATTATTATTCAGATGGGCAGAAATTCGTTTGGAGAAAACCAAACACCGAACTGCAATCCAAAAATCCTAGAGCAACTCTTAAGCACAGTAGCGGTAATATGATGGTATGGAGTTGCATGGCGTACAATGGTGTTAGAAATCTTGTGTTTATCGATGAGATGATGAACGCGATGAATTATATCGAGGTGTTACGTCATAATTTATCAGAAAGTGTAGCTAAGTTACGACTGAATGATACCTACTACTTTCAACAAGAAAACGACTCGAAGCACACCGCTAAAACAACTAGACTGGCTGTTGTGTAATGTTCCCAAACAGTTAATTACACCACCACAATCCCCTAGCATTAACCCAATAGAAAATTTATAGTATATATTGGATTTAGAACTAAGAAAATAAAAATAAAAAAACAAAAATAATTTAGGAGTACTTCTGGAAAAATAGGCAAAAATATTACAAGAATGAACTAAACACCTGGTCGAATTCATACCAAGAACAAGGCTACAAACCTTTATTGATGTAAAAATGTTGGAAAGCGTGATCGCTACGCCCTCACTTGAGCTGTCAATCGTGTGACGACGGACGTTCCCGCGTAAAATGATTACTGAGCATTCCCTGGCGTACGTGTGTTTCAGCCGTTCTTGCGACCGGTTAATCCGGAAACTCGTTATCCTTACATTCATATAGCGCTTACATTAATATATGTATTAATAAAACAATCAAACAAAAACGGATGCATTGCGAAATATTAATTAAGTAGAACTTGAAAATTATAAATTTTTTATCCTAATTACAAGTGTACGAATACTTTTTTGACTTTCAAATTCTCATATTTCTTGTATAAACTTTGTCTTATGCCTTATAAAAACTTGTTAGTTTTCACATTATATTTGTAGATTGTAGACTAGTAATTAAAGTAGTGTTTGCCAATGTATAATCCATTTGTAAAAAGTTATTGCCAAAAAGCTAAGTGTACGAATACTTCTTTTTACCCACTGTATGTCTGCTTTACGCTGTGAACATTTTAACTATGTAATTGTATTGCAGTTGCTACTATTACAACGGTTTCGTCTTTTACCAGATATAGGTCAGTGGTCCATTGAATCTTCTGTTACACTTTATGAAGGAACCACTGCAGTATTTTTCTTGATTCGGCTTATAATCTTGCACTGGTAATGGTTTTCCGCGAGTTGAGGTAGTTCTATTCTCGAGCTGGAAAAGTGTAGTTATGTTGAAAACTCTTTTGACTTATTGTCCTTCGGTTTTTAATTTTTTGTATCCGACAATATACAATCCAGGAATTGACAATTGTCATATCTAATAAATGGTAGAATAATCGTCTGTACTGCATTTTTTATTTAATTTTTATATTGTTAGCGACCGTCGCTAACACGGTTTATGGCACGGACGTGCGTGAAGGGCTATTTTAGAGATTTAGGATTTTTAGGTTTTTAGTAAGCATGATCTTTCATATATGTGTATAAATTTTCTAAATGACCAAAAAATTCGTCATTTTGCATCTCGTCTACATTTGTCTGATGATAACTATCATTACTTTTCTTATCTGAAAAGAGTACAAAAGCTCCAATTAGGAATATCAAACATCTGATTATCTATCGTATTCTTGCAATCAAAAGACACTTTACAGCACAATAACGTGAATGTAATATACATAAAACATACTCTAATATGTTTTATAACACCTCGACTGAAAAAAATCGTAAAGTAAGTATAGTATTATAGTATAGTAGGTACAGTGGTTCACGAAAGTATTCGAATGCTCGCATTTGAAATATTAAGTATTAAAAATATGCGTGTTAGTCCTAAGTAAATACTATTAGATAGAAGTATCATAATTATATATGTAAAATTTGAAGTGATTCTGATAATATTTGTACAAGCTTCTAACATGTTGAATGCCGAGCGATTTCACGCAGGAAATACACAAAATGGAAAAAAATATAATATCAAACTGTTTGATTGAACTGCGTTGTCATTGTTGCGCGGTTATCTTGCTAAACGTCACTGGTTTAGGTTGCTTTATTTCTAATACGAATACGTTTTCAAATAAGCATCGTTTTATTGAGTGAATTATAGTAATTCGATTTGGTTGGGGGTCACCGGTAACCTCCGTGGCATTCAACGTATGAAGGATACATAGGAACCATCTACAGTACAGCTTCCATGTCTGTAGCAGTGACTATCACACTAAAAGTGAAGAGGAGCAAGGGGAGACGTCCACTCGTGGCGCTCGGCCCGGTAGTAATGGCGGCATTAGTTTCGGTATGTTTTTATTACTGGCCGAGCCGCGAGCTGAGGTGGAGCGTGTGGTCGAATTCCCTTGCCCCTCTACATTTTTGAGCCACTAGCCGCCTAGGCTCACGCCAGTAATGCACTATACTTAATTGTAGAGGACAAAGCTGGCGATACTAAAATTTTGATTTCTATCATTACGTTTTACCGCATCGCACGCCGTCTTGCTTCCGTCCTGTGTTATTACTGCGCACCAATCATGACTATGCGTCGAAAATCGAGGCGGCGAAACATCGTGCCTAGACCAGCCCCCTTGCCTCCCTGACTTCTTGTTACGAAGAATAACCGCCAATATTTCTCATCCGGAGAGTATGAACATTGGCATCGGATTACGTTTCGGCACAGCGGTGACTTTTTATGTCTACCGAATCCCGAGAATGCGGAGGTTTGGTTACTATGTTTCCTGGAAAAACCGATGTGGAATGTGTGCGCAATATATGTAGTTTCTACCCCGTATGTACATTGTTTCGTTCTGTTTTATTTCATTTTTGTACTGAATTTTTCAGGCAACGTTCATACCACGTTCTAATGCACCAATAACACACCGGTACCAGAAGTGTGCACATCGCGCCCTAACACACCATAACCTAAAACCCAAAACAGTAACCAAAGAACATATAAGCTGAAGAACCACACAAAATAAGTTAAATTCCTGTTCATAACAAGAAAATGCCAATCTCAACAGTCAGGTATTCAACAACATAATAGAAAATAAATATAAGCAAATCATCACAGACATCATAATCACCATCCCGGAGACAATTTGCAAATTTTCAGAAAGGAACAACGCTCTGTCACCAACACCGCTGAAAGACTTAACAGATTATTTCACAAGCACCACATAAGTCAAAAGAAAATCCAAAACACTAAACAACAAAAATAAGATAAGATGTAAATATGCAGTATTAGCTAGTATGAAAAAAAACCAAAGGCAGAGTTTATTTTTGTATTATTTACATAGTCTGCATATTATTTACATATAGAATATAAGTATAAACAAAAAAAGCAACTCATAAATCTGATAGTTGATATAAATAATAGATATAAACCTTTAGTCTTTCACCTACTACCAACAAATTTGCCCAATTTGCCAAAGCGCAAGGGTAAGTTTAATATTAATATTAATCGTAAGAGTTCCTAACTCACTCCTTCTACCTTTTGTACATACTTTCACTATTTATTTATTTACCCTTAGCTGTAAGTTCAACACTGTGATGTTAGCTCCCTTTTTATTGGCTATTTTGGGGAGTATTACCTAAAATACGATATCCATATTGACCAAAGCAATGTAATTAGTACTAAGGAAAGTACAACGAGCGAAAATTAAATATTATCTATCGTGATAATAAATATCAAAATAAAAGACTGAACGCATTATAGTATAAGTCTCTAGAGCGAAACCAATACTAAACGACTTTTTGTTTATTTAAAGTTTGTAATATTGTTAAATAATTCTGTGGCCATAAATAAACATATTAAAACGAAAAAACGCGTTTAACGCATCGGTTCTCGTCCGATCACCGAAGTTAAGTATCGCTGGACGTGGTTAGTAGTACTTGGATGGGTGACCGCCTGAGAATACCGCGTAATGTTGTGATACCTTTTTTTATCAACAATGTAAAAACTCAACAAAGTCTAATATATAAACGAAGCTTTATAATTTCACCTAAAATGTTCTTCTTTAAATCAATGTTTTTAATCAGTTACTTTTTTCATGTAAACTTTATGTACAGTGCAGCTCTCACGTCTTAAGCCAGATCCATTGAGTTACGAGTACACAGTGGCCAGGTGAGCGGGTCACTCGTGGTGCTCGACCCGGTAGTTATGGCGGCTTAGTTTCGGCACGTCCTTGCTATTGGCCGAGTCGCGCAACAAAGAATGCAAGCGAAACGCAGTGCGCTGCAGTGAGTTGTACAAACATTGGCGTGGAATTTCGTTTCGGCGAGGTGGTGAGACTCATTTTATTTACAGAATCGCGGGGACACAGAAGCTCGACCACTATGTTTCTCGAAAGAACCGAGGTGGAGTGTACAGCTGATTCTCCTTGCCTCTGTGCACTTTTAAAGTAGCGTTCGCTGCTACTTATAGATGTGGGAGCTGCGCTGTACTTAAATAGGATCACAAAAGTATTCGAGTAGAATTAATTATACTCACATTATTTTATATGTGTATTTAGTTGGACCTCCTGTGGTTTCAATTACAGTTTTTAATCGTTGTGGTATGCTGTGCAATAACTTTTCAGTTCGTATGATTTCAATTCTAGGCATTTGATAAAAAGAAACAGAGTGCGCGTTTTCGGTCTAGCGATCTTCGCCTGAATGTCTACGTTGATATCTGAGTGTAAGGACAGGTCATAAACCATGGCCTATGTAGAGAGCAAAATCGTTGAAAAATTTCAATACATTGAATATATTCAGTAACTTCTAGGATTTATTTAAGTCATCACCACGCTCGCTCGTGTATCCTCCGCATCCTACACGATGGAGTTCCATATTTCAACAACTTTTTGTTTTAATACTTCCTTTGAAGTTATTTCATGTTTCTTCAATTTTTTTCCGGTTACCGCCCATAAACGTCAGTTTGATTAATATCCGGACGTTGTGATGCATGAAAAATATGTAGTACATCATATAGTAACCATTCCTGCACAATTCTAACTGTATATTTGAGCTCGTTGGCTTGTTAGAAATCAAAACTCTCCAATAAACCTAATTTTCTTGCATTTTCTTTTAGATTATTTTTTAAAGTGATTAGATGCTTGTATTTATCTAAAATACTGTCAATGAAAACCGAAATTTCTGTTTCATTTGTGGCCATACGTCCCCATAACATCTCACCACCATCGCCGTGGTTTGCAGCTGGTTTAAAATTTTTAATATTCATCTCAGAATTCTGTTTTCTTTAAAGATAGCGAGAACCGTCTGAGCTAAATATATTGAACTTATTCTCATTATTGAAAATCATTTGTTTCAAAAAGAATTATTTTAGTTCACAAATTCTTTTTCTTTTCTTCCTTGCAATTCAACCATAGAAATCATTGTTCCATAGATTCTTCGGTATAATTCAGGATGAATATCTTTTTGGAAGTCACTGGCAGCAGGTCCTGCAAGTTCTGCATCCGGTATATATGGATTCTTTTTTATTTCGCGTATTATTATCTTTTCCCCTCTGCCAGTTAATTTTTTAATTATATAGTGTACTGTAGAAAAAC